AACCTTACTAACGCCTGTTAATCATAATGGAGCATAGGCCGCCGACCAGCACTCTCCAACCCACTCTGTCCTGGGCCTTCTTTTCTAGTTCCAACCCATTCATGTTCATTTCTCTCATGTCTATCTCTATTTCTCGGCGTAATGTGTTCTTTGGTGTTCCTCTCCTCCTTCGGCCTTCAGGATTCTATGTGAGGCCTTGTCTTGTGACGCAGTGCGGTGCTTTCCTCAATGTGTGTCCTATCCACTTCCAGTGCTTCTTCCTGATTTCCTCCTCCACTGGGATCTGGTTTGTTCTCTCACACAGTAGGTTGTTGCTAATAGTGTCCGTCCAACGGATCTGAAGTATTTTGCGTAGACAACTGTTAATAAACACTTATATCTTCTGGATAATCGCTTTCGTGGTTTTCCAGGTTTCCGCCCCATACAGTAGAACTGTCTTGACATTTGTATTGAAAATTCTGACTTTGGTGTTGGTTGCCAATTGTTTTGAGTTCCAGATGTTCTTCAGTTGTAAATATACTGCTCTTGCTTTGCTGATCCACACCTTCACATCTGCATCAGACCCACCCTGTTCATCGATGATACTGCCCAAATATGTAAAGGTTTTTACATCTTCCAAATCCTCCGTCAATTGTGATTGGATTGTTGCATGCTGTGTTGTATCGGAGAATCTTGCTTTTCCCTTTGTGTATATTCAGACCTATTGCTGCTGAGGCTGCTGCTACACTGGTCGTCGTCTCCTGTATTTGTTGTTGTGTGTGCGATAGAAGAACCAGATCATCTGCGAAGTCTAGATCATCCAATTGCATCCTACCTATCCACTGTAACCCGTGCTTCCCTTCAGATGTTGATGTCTTCATGATCCAGTCGATCACCAGGAGAAAGAGAAAGGGTGCGAGTAAGCAACCTTGCCTGACACCGGTCTTTACTTCGAACGACTTTGTCAACTGTCCTCCATGAACGATTTTGCAGTTTAATCCATCATAAGAATTCCGTATGATATTGACTATCTTCTGAGGCACGCTGTAGTGTCGAAGAAGCTTCCATAGGGTTGTTCTGTCCACGCTGTCAAATGCTTTTTCGTAGTCAATGAAGTTGATACAGAGTGATGAATTCCATTCAATTGATTGTTGCACAATGATCCGTAGAGTTGCGATTTGGTCTGTGCACGATCTATCCTAACGGAATCCTGCCTGTTGGTCTCGAAGTTGTGCGTCTATGGAGTCCTTCATCCTGTTTAACAATACCCTGTTGAAGACTTTTCCTGGTATTGAAAGAAGAGTGATTCCCCTGTAGTTGTCACAGTTGCTGAGATCGCCTATCTTTGGTATTTTGACTAGAAGTCCTTCTTTCCAGTCTTTTGGTACCTGTCCCTCATCCCAAATCTTTCTAAAGAGAGTTTGGAGTATCCTTGCAGTTGCCGCTACGTCTGCTTTCAGTGCCTCTGCAGGAATGCTGTCTAGTCCTGCTGCTTTGCCACTCTTGATTTGTCTGATAGCCATGCTGATCTCTTCAATTGTTGGTGCGCCAACATCAATTGGGAGGTCCGTGAGTGCTGCTTCGATGTTGGGTGGGTTCAGTGGAGCTGGTCGATTCAAGAGTTCTTTGAAGTGTTCTACCCATCTGTTTCGTTGTTCTTCAATGTTGGTGATTATCTTGCCTTCCTTGCTTTTCACTGGTCGTTCTGGTTTACGGTGATTTCCAGAGAGTTTCTTTGTTGTTTCATACAGTTGTCTCATGTTTCCTTCTCTGGCAGCCTTTTCCGCCGTCAATGCCAAATCCTCCACATATTTACGTTTGTCAGTTCTGATGCTCCTTTTCACTTGCTTGTTTACTTCTGTGTATTCAGCCTGTGCCTTGACTTTTTCTGCTCTTGTTCGACTGGTATTGATTGCTGCCTTCTTGTTCCTCCTTTCTTGAATCTTATCCAGTGTATCGATCGTGATCCAATCCTTGTGATGGTGCTTCTTTTGGCCCAGAACCTCATGACATGTTGAAGTGATTGCCTCTTTTATCTCTTTACAGTTTCTCTCCATGGTAGTTTCTTCTTCATTGAGTGGATCATGAAAGGCCTGGAACTTATTGCTGAGGGCTATCTTGAATCTGTTGAGTTTGTCAGTATGTCGAAGGAGAGCCGTATTAAATTTTTGTGATATTGTCCTCCCCGTTGTCCAGTGCTTCTTGAGTTTCAATTTCATCTTGGCGATCAGCAAGTGATGATCTGATGCTATATCAGCTCCTCTCTTGGTTCTCACGTCCTCCATCGTCCTCCTGAACTTTTCGTTGATGCAGATATGGTCGATTTCGTTCTGTGTGGAGTGATCCGGTGAAGTCCATGTGGTTTTGTGGATGCGTTTATGTGGGAATATAGTGCCGCCTATGACCAGTTTATTGAAGGCACATAGATTTGCAAATCTCTCACCATTGTCGTTCCTTTCTCCCAGTCCGTGTCGTCCCATGATCTCTTCATATCCGGTGTTGTCAATTCCAACCTTGGCATTTAGGTCTCTCATCAGAATGGTCAGGTCCTTTGTTGGGCACTTCTCGACGATTGACTGCAGCCTATCGTAGAATTGATCTTTAGCGTCTTCATTGTAGTCGTTGGTAGGCATGTAGCATTGGATGGCGTTCATTGTAATCCCCGTTTTCTTTGTTTTGAAGGAGGCTTTGATGATCCTTGGTCCATGAGATTCCCATCCTATAAGTGCATTTTGTGCTTGTTTGGACAGCATCAATGCAACTCCTTGTGTATGTGGGGCATTTTCTTGTTCATGTCTGGAGTATAACAGCAGCTCCCCTGAAGCTAGTCGTTGTTGTCCAACTTGCGTCCAATGTGTTTCACTGATCACAAGCACCTCTAAATTGTATCTCCTCATTTCTGCAGCAATTTGGAAAACTCTCCCAGTCTCCCACATTGTGCGAGGATTCCATGTACCTAAATAAATGGTTGCTCTGGTTGTCAGAAGGGGCATCGGCCTCGTGACTTCCGAAGGAACTCGGCTTTCATCATGAGGCGTCATAATTCTTCTAAACGAAGACCTTCTGAATCCCAGGGCAGATTTTAAATGTTTGAATAATTTTTTGTGGTTAGCGTTTTTTTAGCGAGTTAGTTTTCTAGGGGATGGGGTCGCTAACCCCATGCCCAACCCTCCTCCTTTATCCGGGCTTGGGACCGGCAGTAGCTGCCGGAGGGACTCCAGGCGGAGTTATGTACAGCCTAGAGAATACAGAAAGAAATTGCATACAGTGATGAGTACCATATAAAAAGTGGATATCCAAAGAAATTGATTATGGAATACAGAAAAATGTTTACGGGAAGTCCCCCAAAAACAGCTGTTAACAATAAACTTGTTTCCACTCATCTAGCATTCGAAGGAGAGACTTCAGTTTTGATAGAAAGGATTACAGTGGTACCAGAGGGAAGTTTCCTTGCAGCCCGATTATTTTCAGTGTAAACACCAGATGTTCATTAATTCAATTAAAAGTGGGTCAGTGACTCCCTGAGATCGCCTCCAAATATTTTATGAATTTACACGTACGAGTACATAGGAAAAATTGAAAAGAGGCCATCTACAAGGTTTTCTGAACATATTCCACGTAACTCATATCTGAAAAGATTCACAAATGCAATTATCATACATTTAATGGATAGTGTGTATCACAAAACCGCCTAAAATAATTAGCAAGCAGCAAACACCACTTTGGAGACAACTGCCATGAAGCATTCCCGATTTGACTTTTGTGCACAGAAAAGCTTGTAGTGAACTGATATTCAATCAAGACGTTAACTTTAATTTTATGTCAACTAGGTGCCTCGATTATCACATCTTGTTAACAAATTTATTTCACTCATTGTCTTTTAATTATCATTCATGAATCCAACCCTATCCTTCATCTTCAGCATATAACTACTAATAAAGCTTAAGTGTTATGTTAAATATGTCATCTCTTCGTGTTTCTTATTTTATCCAGAACTAAACTTCATTGATTACGGTACGTAAAACTTCCTACAATAATATTACTAATATAAATTTAGGCAATTCGCAACTGAGAAGCCTTGAAATATAATAAATTCATGTTATTCCGCAAAATCTTGTTTTCACTTTATTTAAATTTTATTAGAATGGAGGTTTGTGGAGATTGCAGTGAATTAATATTTGTATTCATGAGTCGAAGTAAGCTAGACCACCATTGAAAACCTGAAAGAACTGGACAGCCGTTTCGTCCTAGTATGGGACTCAGGATACAAGAAACATAATCGTTCAAAGTAGTACAAGTTTCTTATCAAGAAAAATTTTAGTAAATTATTTCATTTTCTTATCAAAGCCCATTGAAATAACGTCTGTAACTAAAATTAAGCACCCACAATCACTTCAATCAAGGTAACTAATGCATCTATCCCAATTCTAGAACATTTCGTGACATAAAACTACTTTAACTTTAAATGCGCCAAGTGTTACTTAGAAATTTCTCCAGAAATTACGTTAAAGTAGCAAGTTGCATTCATTTTGTAGATTCAGTCACGTTGCTGAAATGATATCATAATATAAAAAATTCCTTCAAAACTAGAATGCTAATCATCCTTCAATATTTACACGTTCACCGAATGACTGGTTTGACTATTGTTTCAGAAAACTGTAACACAAGAAGTCCCAAGTTTATTGTCTTGGTATTACTGATACATAAAGACTGGCTGCTTTGACCTGTAATTATCCCATAGAATTAACAAACGGTAGTTTGCATACAGCTAATTTACGACACTGACTCAGCTGTTCTGCATCTGAGTGATATTTAAGCCTGAGGCTTCCATTATTCCTAATGGAGAATGTAAAACAGGTAGTCTTGTTTAGGATTTTAGAAAGTCCAATCATCCTTGCACGCTATGATTCAGATATCTACACCTTTTTTAGAGATTATGTATAGAGTGATGTTTTCTTCAATTGTGAAGAGAGTAACATCAGAAAGAGATTTTAAATCTGCTTGATATTATATGGAACTAACTTTTGATTAGTTCCGACTATTAATAAGAACCATGAACACTTTTAAAATAACTTGTATTTACAAACATTTTGATTATGGGTACGTTTTGAAGATACAATTCACGACAAATGGATAATCTACGAACAAAGATGTGATTATATTGTCAATAAATCGAATTATATTAATTATAAATACACCCTCTTTTCATAATGTAAGAGAGAATAGGTAAAATATGAAACTAATTAGCTCGAACTATATTCCATGATATTTTCACTCTGTACATTATTATCATCTTTTTCGTGATACAGTTTGAATAAACTTTCGTAATAATTCCACAAGTTGTCCACATTTTCGCAACTGAAAAAAAAAGTGAAAATTAGCAGATTTATGAATGTAAGGATTGAAATAATAAAAAACTTTAAAAAAATTATCATTAAACCGAATTATGTTTTGAGCATCAAAAATCATGAACATTTTTCGAGATTGATTATTCTTGTTTTGATTCCCTTCAAACAGAATCTTAAAAAGATTTTCATGAAACACTTTCATTTGAATGTTATGTTACATAATCAGCAAGGCAAGAAAATAGTTTGCGAAACTTTGAGCAATTTTCCATACACACATGAAGATAAAAATGTACTAATAATCCTTGGCTACCTGAATAACTATCGCTTATTAATATGTTCTATAAGATGAGTCTCAGTGAAAAACTAAAAAATTTGAGAGATTAGTTTACCGTTTATATACACAATAGAAAATGTGAACAATATCTTGTAAAGATAAATAAAAATTCAATTTTTAAGTATAAATGTTAGACTATGTCTATTATGTGTCTTTATACAAACCAGAAGCAAGATATAATTAAGCCATGTCAATGACAAATACAGATCATTCACAAAATTTAAATTTTCTCACAACCCACAGACTTTACCGCGTTTGTAAGAACTTTAACAATTATTACAAAATCGTGTTACAATAGGGCATTGAAAAATGTGAAGACTTTTGTGATAAAAACGGAGCGTGAAAAAAAATGGTAGTAACAAGGAAAGAGATTGAGGAAATAACTAAGATTAAAAATTTTTTTTAAATCTGTCAACCCTTCCAGTTGCACTATTTCTAGTAGAGTTGATAAATCTTTACTAAAAACCATCTGTCAGTATGTGTGTCGACATGATAACGCACTTTATAAGATTTTAACAGCAAGTACACAATCTCATATTGAAAAGAAATGTGATTAATGTCCTGAATTGTGCGTGACGTCGTTCTAAAAACTTGAGGGAAGAAAAGAGAAAATAGACATAGTGATAACGGGCAGATTTTTGAGCTAATTTTGTACTCATTCCGAGCAAAATTAGAAGTACAACAACAGACAGTAGTTTTGAAGTATCTGTTAGAATGTTCACATCGATGGATATCACATTCATTACCAAGACTGTTGATAATGAAGTATATAACAATGACTTGATCGGAGAAAACAAAAATAGCCAGTTGATCATACTTATTCAATTCCCAGACTGGAAAATCATTTTAATATTATGTTGCGTGTTTTGTTGGATTTTAGTGGCTATATTTTCATTCGCAGATCCACTTTATTAAGTAGATTATTAGTTATCGCACCTAATGGTTGTAGTTTTAAGTGACAGAATTTTTTTAAAAAGTATTCCATACAGCACCGTAAGTGTTGTGCATTAGTACCCAGTTAGTAAGCTTACCTAAACAAGTTTTAGGACAAAACACTACATAAATGGAAAATGATCGAAGTCGCTATAACTCATTATAGTTTATCCACAAAGATCTATACTGTCATGATTTGTTCCCAGAACTTGAATCATCAACCTTTGTTATCCAACACTTATTATTTATTTTAACACATAGATATTGGTACAAGGAGGGACCAAATATATATGCGCTACACAGATCTCATTTGATATGTGTGAGGGCTGTGATACTGCCCGGGTGCCCAGACCGACACTGGTAAAGAATTGTTTAATATAAAAAACAGTATAATGTTACTAAAAATTGTTAGTTACTTCTATAGACTTTCATCTTAAAAAAACTTATCTCTATATCTTAAGTCACAAGCACAATAGATCAACTGACGAGGAAAACACTAACTTGATACTATGGTAACAAAGAACTGACAACAAACACTGTATTTCCCTTTTTCAACAAATGCAACATAAATTACAGCATAAACACTTCACCACACAAAAGAATTTAAAAAGACGAAAGAAAAGAGGCAGGAATAACAGAAACAATGTTGACTTACGTCAATCTATTCACACAACAATGATAACAATAGCAACAAAATCATTAGAAAATGTAAGACAGAAATGATAGATAATCGTTAGTTAATTTTATTTATTTATCTGATTAACAACAGAATTGACTCCAGTAGCTTTTTTAATCAAAATAATCTGTCATTCTTTATCAAATTAATTAGAGAAACAAGAGAAAAAACCACAGAGAAGTGAAGATTAGAAAATAGAGAAGTAAAGGCTGGAAAAACTAAATTGATTGTAACTAAATTAGCTTCGAAAGTAACCCGTTGGATATAAGAAATAAAAGGGGTACATATATACAAAACATCATTTAGATAGAGAAATCTAGTAAACGAATAATCATTCTTATTAGAAAGAAAATGAAAAACACTTCCTTAAGGTTATAACTTTAATAACATTCATGATTGAAAAGTGTAATCAAGAATATAGTCAACTTAAAAACCGATAAAATGATTGTAAATTTATTTTTAGTGAAGGTTATGAATGACATAAAAGTTTACTAACATCTACTGTCTTATGAACATACAACACACTTCAGTTACGCAGCATTAGTAATGGCCAAATAAAGTTTAAAATGCGTAAATTATTCTATCTCTTACCAAGAAGTACAATTAAGATAGTGAAATCAATAGTATGATCATTGAAGTTATACTGTTAATTGTCATCAACACTACAAATCATGGCCGCAAACACTCAATCAGTTGGAAAAAAACAATGAGTGAAAAAAACGACATAGAGATTTAACAAATTAGTTAGGAAAAAAATCTAAATCGAATTAAGTAAAATGAAATTAAAACAACGAATTCATACTGAAATGACCAAAGACCAAATTAAAAGAATTAGAATGACAGTATTATATACATGTTCTCCACCATCTCTATATACATGTTTATTGGGAAAAAAACCAGTTTCAAGATGAAAACCTTGAAGTTGTTCAATTATGTCAGGCCACTCAAATATTTATTCATTCACTAATAGCTTCATACGTCATTTATTCCCCCAGGATCCTGACACCTATGTACATCACTGGTTTGGAGTCGGAATTTTCTAAACCCCCTTAAGTGGGCTCTGAGTACCTACAGACCCGGTTTAAGCACCAGACATTTACTTTACGTCCATTTTTAGGACTTGCCTGGAAGAGGTTCACCCGGACAACAAACTCATCAACTCGGTACGTATGGACTTTTAAATGTTCTCAAAGTGCTCCTGCCACATTGGCTAACAAATGAAAAGAAACCACTATAGTAAAAACTCATGTATTTAGTAGAAAAGAAACATTTTGAAACAAGTCACTAATCGATCAACCAGAAATACGAAACAAACAAGCATAAAAAACCCAAGTGAAACAGAATGAACATTTCTATCTTGGTGATATTTGTGACAGAGCAACAAAGTGACTTTGTTATCTACTTGGGTGATGCTCTACGTCAAAACAATTATCGTAAGGACCAATCAACTTATAACAGATTCAAGTAATTTTATTGGCGGTTTAAAATCAAGGAATCAACTACACAGATGTTAATGTATTCATAGGCTTTAACCTTAATGGTAAGGATTAATAGTGAACCAGTGAATGAATAGTTCCAGTAGAACCTTTTTACACTTATGGAATATAGTTGACCATCTGGGTACTTGCTACTGGAAACCATGAATCGAACGACGCAAGTAATAACATGAATACGATAGATCCCAAAATATATCGAAATGATGTATAAATATACACATAATTAAGTATATGTAACCAGTAGATATAGCTAATTGATAAAGTCTTATAATTACTGTTATTTAAAACGTGATTACATGCCACAGACGACTGGGGAAAAAAACAAATTCATGTGTAACTAGCACTCCAACCAATTTAGTCTTTCCTTACCATGTCGCTACTGAAACTCAAACACTTAACTTCGTTTAAGCAATGAAACAGAACTTCCAAGAAACACACAACACATGACTGACGGTTTATTGTGTGAAAATGTTTGTGAGTATTCACTTGTAAAAATATTGAATTCGACAGCCTAGGTTTAAATGCAGCGATAAACAAGTATAAAACACACCAAGTTAACTGTAAGAAGATTAATAAAATGTTAAGAGAATGATAATAATATTTAGAGAATGAAAAGACGATCTAGATCAATCGATAAAACAACTCACTGTTTGATTAGATTAGACTTGACATGATTCAGACTAGCCTGTAAGCGAACTAAGTTTGCTTGGCAAGTTGCCCATTCACCTTGCAAAGTTAAAAAACCGGGATTACTAAGTTCCTTTTTGTTGTCTATTGATTCGTTATTCGGAAGATTTCTTGACTCCTTAGAATTCGTACATTCAGACAAAGCTGAATTAGCAGCTATTCTTCGCAAGTTCAACGCATGAGAACGGAGTATAGAATGTGTCCAGCGAACATATAACTCAACATGACGTGATCGGCCACTCAACTGACGAGCAAGAAAAGAGATGAGATAATGTGCAACTTGATTGATAGGGAGTTGACGGGCTAAAAAGTCGACTAAAACATAACGAGAATTAAAAGTGTAGACAGCCTTGAAGAAAGAATTCATGAAAAATATATCAGCGGTGTGGAAATTAAACCTATGAAATAATACATTGTTTATGAGACATAAGATTTCCCTTTAGTAATTGATCACTACCAAATATCAAGTTTCAACAACAAAGACTTAATCTATATTTACTCATTGCAAAAACTTTTTCACAAACATGATGATCGTAGGTGTAACCTATTTCCACAACCGAAAATTGTCTAGTAGGCTGAAGGACATTACCAAGAAAACACTTTCCAGCAGTTCATCATTAGAAGGTATTACATGTATAAAGTAGCTGAATAACTTAAATAACCAACTCGAATAGAATCGAATGATTTATTTCGTACAAGTCGTCATAAAAGAAAGAAATTCGACCGTAGTTTTTAACATGTTGATTGAAACACAAATGTGATCAGAATATATTTTGACTAACATACAATCTATTCGACAGTGAGAAACCATCACATTCTTAGCGACTGAAGTAAACAGGGAACGATGTCAAAACGTTTGTCACCACGTTATCCTAAATCTCGGCTAACGTTTAATTATTTACCGTTCAGTTTACACATCACAACACCAAACAGCGCTGCCTTTATAAGTCGTCACTTGAGTAATAACGCCTTATGAATCCATTGACAAATATGAACAACTGTTCAGTCCTTTTTCGTTTGCAAGAATTCTGAAAATAATCCCATTAGTTATGAAAACGTGCAGTAGTTAGCATCATCAACTGAGACCGTTTATATCACTAATTGTTAACAATTTCCAGCGAATAATGCTTTATCACAGGAAACCGAAATACAAATTACATACAATTTAACTACTTTTATGGGACGAAAGAAATGTCATCCAAGAATACTTACCCAATCATAAATAAATTATGTTGAGGCCTAAATCAAATAAGATGAAATTTCCACAATAATATCTTACCTTCCGTTATTCAAGAACATATTCTGCCCACTTACGTACTGATGAATGAAATTATTTAGTTACTTAGACTTAAAAATAGCATAAATACTATTAAATAATAATACTCAGAAGTGATAACAACAGCCATTTGACTATGCTGATTGTCTTAACCGTTTTACATCTTACTCGAATTCACTACAATTAATGTCGGTTTCAGCATAAACTGTACGAAATAGAAAAAACGAGTACAATACATCGCGACAGCTATCTAATCTCATATGAGTTACAGTTGCAGTAGAAAAACTGAACATAAAGTCTTTGGAGGATAGAGAACTGAATCACTGACCATAATGACATTTAGAATTACTGCTGCAGTCGAACCACAATTAAATACTAGCTAATCTTTTTAATAATATGTACCATGAGATTATTAGGAATAGACCGTTGAATCAACTTATATCCCGCGCTGAGGATAGCTTTCATAGCATTATAAATTACCGAATTGACAATGTGCCTGTAAAGTATTATACTTGTAGTCTCTGATAGGAATAACCGAAGCATTAAACATTGATACTGTAACTTAACAAAAATATTAAGCTCGTAAAATGTTTTAGGAAAAGAAAATTTAAAACTACTTCATTTATAATCTGAAAATTTAGAAATTTATGACCGATTTGATCAAGTAAATTCAACAGCTAGATCATGCCAGTAATGAAACGATTTATTGCTGAAAGGTGAAAAAAAATATATGTAAAATGATCTAAGTAAAGTTTACTTTGGTCAACGGGAATTGATTCAATGACTTCCTCAACAAGTTCATGCAATTGCAACCGAATAGCCATGTCCAACGCCTCTGCATGTCTACCTTGAGTGAGTGCACTACGAGCGTTTGATGGGGTGGTTTGTTCATCAATACCTAATGTATCAAACAACCAACCACTATCACTACAGCTTGAAGAACCAAAAATACTACTTATACCATATCCTGTCCCAGCAGATGGTAAAGAATATACAAGAATACCTTCAGTAGTGACAGTTGCGAATGAATCACCTGTGGACATAAAACGTAGAACGATATAAATTATGGATTAGGCTGATTATAGATGTGATATATATTTTATAAAACAAATAACTATTGATAAATAATCAAAAAGTTGACAATTGGGATCAACAAAAATCTGTCAATGTACCTGTAGGTGAAAATTCAACTGCAGAAACTCTCACTTCAGGTCTCCATTGGCGACGACTACGATCTTCACCCTTAATGCTTGACGGGATTCGCAAACTAGGACGTTGTGCTTCTTTGGCGTTCATTGTTTCCATACTGAAACGATGTAAATAGTTACGTCGATCGTGTATCTCTTGAACTCCAGCTAGTGAAAGATTACATGTGACTTCAAATCGTTTAATTAATAATTTATCAGGAACAGAATAGAGACATATATATTTTGAATCTCCACCTGCTATTAAATGTTCACCGTCGACAGAATAAGCTATAGTTTGGAATTTCCTATTTACAAGAATATGTAATAAAAATATTTAAGTGTGTATAGTTAAACAGACAAACTAAAGCATTAGTTATGGCTAATTAAGTTTGTTTTTGAAGATAATTTATGTCACAGATTGGTGTTAGCTATAAAATTAATCGAAAACAATGAGCTCCTATTTATCTGAAAAATAATTATTTGATAAGTTTTCTTTTCTTTTTAACTTTGTGATACTAATATATGATTTTATGACGGATATTTTCGGAGCTTTTGACGATGCTCGGGTTTTTAAAAAGATACCAAATATTCTTTTAAAAAATCATTTATAAAAGTATGTTTGATACACCATAATAAACATACTTAGCTTCGGCTGCTCTACGTGGGGTAACTAAGTCTTCCTCATTAGTCTGTGCTACCCCAAGATCCCGATGACCATCTATGGTTCCCATTTCAACCCCTTCATTAGGATCATAGAAAACTATGTTTCCGTTTAAAAGGGAAATAGCCAGCTGCTTACCATCACCTCGATATACAACGTATAAAGCTACAATTCAATGCAAAAAGACAATCAAGACTTTCTAAATATAATATGGTGATCAATGTTGAGATAATTATTGCTATTGAAGAAAATCAAACTGTAAAACGAAACTAAATACACCTAAATAGTTGACTACAAATAGTAGTGTACGGACAAAATACTACCAGTGGCATTAGAATATTCACTGGGAAATACGATTCTCACAATTCATAATTCAGTTACGTTAAGCTATATATTGAAATGATTTACATTGCAGATATATTCTACGCTTTTATCCCTGAGAACCATTAACCAATAAGATGAATACATCACTTTGCTTTTAGATTTGCATAGTCGTATATAAAGTAAGAGTGAATTCAGAAGTGAAAAAACGTTACATGAATCATTAAAAAAGTAACATTATTCCACATCTTGGTAGACAACGGCACCAAATGTGTAGTGATAGAAGATACGTTGGGGAAACCTAATTTACTGTTTAATGCAAAATTACACAATCTCCTTGTAAAACATGAAAATCACACCTTAAATAAATTATTTGCACATCTCACTTCAGTTTTTCTTTAAATACTTCATGACTCTTCCAATTCTGTTGTTATTCGAATTGCTATCTGTTTCCCCATTCTCTTTAATTCAATATTGTGCTGGTAGGTATTACACTTTCGATTGCTGCTACATACTAATTATGTCTACCAGCATAATTAGCGTACACCATAATTGTATTGTATTATATGTAGCATAGGGTACATCACATATTTTGTACAACTGATAAATACATTCGTTTTACTGGAGGTTGGTTGCTCAGTGTATGGGGTTTTTGACAGTTGATGTTCGAATTTATCGTTTTTCCAATGGCATGGGAGTATAATTACACGACAAAGCATGACACTAGTTCATCGACTTTAGGTATTTACTAACCTTATTCGCCTTTATTTAGAATGATATTTATGCGACTATAACCTAGTTAGAACTTTCGAACTTGAGTTCCCAATTTTTACAATAAAAAAGATGTGGAGTATATGTGAACTAGCTCCAGGATGATAAGCAGAACTTTAGCGGATTCATGAAAGTTCACGATGATCAGCATCGACTTAGTTTTACATATGGTGAAGGACCAAATACCTATGATAACAGTTTTGATTATCATCCAAAGTATACAAAATCTAGCACAATATAGCTATAGGTACTACTGCTACTAACGACCATTTATATCATTTATTCTAAAAATATTTGAGCTATGCACAATAACTTTCTGGCATTTACAAAGATAAAATAGTCTTGTCTGTGGAAAACTGAAATGCGAAATATGCGGCTTAGTTAACAAACAAATGTATGTAATTTTTGTGAATTCACTTGATCTACTCAAAAGTAGTATATATTCCAGTGCCCAAAACAAAGCCTTTTGTAAATAGACAAATTGGACCCACTAAATTTTTTAAATCTACTTTAGTGGTGACGTTTTATCAAAACCTAACTAAAGAATAAAGAAGGCAGTGATTACGAGCCATAACTCTATATAAACTTCATAAAGAATGACTGGTTGGGTAAACATTCAAATGACAGGAGTTTAAGCACAAGACATGACGGGCTTCTTCTGGGCATCGACTAAAAGGTTGTTGAGTAGTAACTTGAACTTATTTACTTAATATATACCTTTATCTAAGTGTATGAATTCTTGTAATGACAAACTGATTAGACCTCTGCAAACATGTACTTTAGTTTTTATCACAATGAAATGTGTTGATGTTGGGATAACATGAAGATTGTTATGAGGAAATAATGCAGTCTAACCATTTTACTTTCATCATACTCAACGCAGTCTCTCGTAACAGAGATATTTTTCGGCTTTGACTGATCTTTAAACGGTCCATCTAATAGATTCGACTGGATCATAGTTTAAAATTTCTCTTCAAGATTATCTATTACAATCATTAGCTTTACTTCAACAGTCAAAAACGAAAATCTACAACAGATTATTTTCGTGAATCCAGTTACAAAGAAAAGTTGAAAGAAAAGGATCTATTTTGTAAACCGTTTGTCATTACAGCTAATTAGTAATGGACAAACAAGAAATTATCCTATACCATTTGGATGATAGGAGGTCCGCTACAAATAATATTGAAGATAATACCGACGTTGACAGATTATCGTGGAAATCACATCAAAACAAAGAGAAGTAAGGTGGAAATAAACACTTATGTTTATCGACCTAAGTGTCGCATTACACACCAACTAATAAATGTGAGAACATATAAAGAATCAAAAATACTAATACCGACAGTAACTGCAAAAAAATGGAAACCAAAAGAAACAAATTTGAGAATTTTTATAGATAATTTTCCACGTTTATCTCACAGATTATAATCAAGTTTCGACCTCCCTACACAATTCACAACAAAAGTCGACAAGTGAATCGATTTGAAACATTTTAACTGCTTCCCAATCGTATAGGCATATTAACCAATTATACTTGGGATTATGCGAAGGAAATTACCATTACTTGCTTAGCGTTTCCATCAAACACAAGCAATTTTTTTAAGACAATGATAATAAAATACCGACAACCTAAACGTCCTCCAACTTCACAGATAAAATTTACAGCCATGAAGAAAGACATGTCAAAATTCTGTGTAATACGCATTTGTTAATAAAAATATGAGTATTTAGTCTGCATTACAAATGGCATAATTTGTAGAAAGCATAAAATTCCTTTTACATGTGGCCAGGTCTTATTTATCTATGACGCATGAGGTCTGGACGACCACACGGAGCAACATGAATACTAGAACGACTCGTATTCAAAAATGTTTTGTAAAGTATATTCACCAACTAATGACAACTTATATCTGCTTGGTTATAAGTCAAATAAACAACCACCAACTAAATACAAACCGATAGTTGCTTCTTAACATTATAATTTCATGTGTGTAGGGGTAACTTTTCATAAATTCACATTGTCGTCAAATTAGATGAGCTACATTAAGAACCTGGAAGTAAATAAATTGTTCGACAAGTTAAGAAGTAACTCACCATCACATGAAAAGTTAACAACCTCTTTTGTAAGACCCATACTAGATAAATTATTTTCATCAGTCGAATTGCCTGTAACATCCCATAATCGAAGCGTACAATCCCAACTAACAGTAGCCAATTCGATATCAATACCAGAAATGGCAGGATTAAATGCTAGTGCACTAATGGGAGAAGTATGCCCCGTTAAAGTAGTCAATAGTTGACCTGTCTTAACTGACCATACATAAGCTTCGAAAGTATCCAGACCTCCAGCAGCAACAAGAGAGCCACGCGCATCAACAGCCAACGACGAGAACTGAACGCGACGAGTAGGAACAGTGAATGTACGGAAATTCCTGTAGCTTTAAACACAATAATGACAGAAAACAAATACACCTAGGGAACAACAAGCTATGGTACAGAATAAAAAGCTTTGATTCCTTGAAATAACACACACAAAGTTAGAATGAACTTTAAGAGCATTTTCATTCGTTTAGTTTCGAAATCTAAAGAAATCGCCAATTATTATTCAAATATCTGGCTAGATCCTTGAGATCCATAATACATTATGAAACACTTCATAATCGATTGAATATTCATCAGTAATTGTCTATTAAATAGGAAATGTGACTGACTACTTACTAGATTACAAACTGTAACAACCGCATGAGTAGTAGAAAGATCAAATCTATATTTAAATCAAAACAAATGCTACGTGAATGAGGCTTATATCACTTGTATGTTTATATCACTATGCTTAAAATTCGAAGAATGACATATAAACTTCACGCAGCTACTACTTGCAAAGACTGACGAAATACTGAATAAATATTAAAGTATTTTCTATAACTCTAGACTGGTATACCAAAATAATTACTATCAACCCTTTGTGTAAATTCTTAAACATTAATTTGAAAGGATGGGTAACATTCGGTTAGAAAAATATATTCATCGATAATAAAATCCTAGAACCTTGTTTGTTACAATAAACTTTAAAATAAAACTAAAGTTTGTGCAACAAAAGAGATTGGGAGTAATTCTTTTTAATTAACCTAAATATTAATATCGAAACTAAACACAGTATGCGTAAACTTACACAAACTAATCACTCCACTTCACACCTTAGGGACAACGTTGCCATTCTGAGTATGAGTACATAAACTTAACTTCATTTTTACATAACAATGAAATCATGACTAAAGGTTGCTCTTATTAACATCAATTATTATTTATTATATTTTATTTGAGCACATAGATATTGGTACAAGGAGGCACCAAATACATATGCGCCACACATACCTCATTTGATTTGTGTGAGGGTTGTGATACTGCTCGGGTGCCCAGACCAAAGAAGGTGGTTTTCTTAGGGGGCCACACCCGAGCCTTCGACCTAAAGGTCTGATCCACAAGGCACTGAAGCATCGTAAGGAGATGCAGTCCCATGGTAACCGGTGATAAACGACTGGTTTATATACCCTTTGTTCCCTCAGGATACTGGAGCCCATGTGCATCATTGCTTTGGAATCAGGGTTTTCCAACTCCCCTAGGTGGACTCTCCCTGTCCACCAGCCCGGTTAAAGTGCCGGACATTCGCTCTTCGTCCTCTCAATTTCGTAAACACCCTCGCGATTACATACTTCTCCATATTACAATAGCGGATATAATCAGCAGACAAATACCCTTACATTTCTCTGAGTTTTTAGTTGATTGGACTGTAAAACTTCATTCGGATACATTTGGTCAAATGGTTTACTGCAACTTAAGAAGGGATATGCCTGGCTTGGGATTTCTCGAGAAGTACATAAATTAACAGGCTCAAATCATCATCAAAAAGTAATATTCCACAGAAGCTAATAATAAATAACATACACTTGATAATAATGCAACATATATGCTGAAGGATAACTAATGATGATCTCCACATCTACACTAACAGTAAAAATAAATTCCGTATCTCAGAATTTCTAAAAGATGCTTTATATACACTTAGCGACGAGATGATCAATGAGTTAGTTTCAGTAAGGACGCAAACTGTAATCAAACTGGTTAGATTGAATTCTGGTTGGTATTTATTTATATGTTTATCAAACTGAAAGTACCTGGAAAACAATTTTCATAGTTAATCCTTTAAGTTACATTGAATGTAATCGGAATGTAAGCTCGAAAAAACCTAAACTTCTATTTTAGGTAATAATTCGCAGTCTGATCTATTTATTTGTTTGTTTTTATTTGAACACAAATATTGGTACAAGAGGGCACCAAATATATATGAGCCATATGACGATGTATAGGAACGAGTATTTCAGTGATCAAAGTGATAGTTTCTTAAAATTTATGTATCACTTATGACAACTGTAGACCGTTATAAGTTCAGTTAGATGTAGAAAAATAAGACTTACGATTATTTTGTGTGTTTCGAATCCAACTGGTGTAGGACACTAATATAAATTCTTTAGTTACCTAGTAACGATGCAAATCAAATTACTTAGTAAGTAAACAAACTACTTTGCTTACAGGTATATTTCGGAAAGCAAAGAACAAATGTTAATCAACTATTTCGCTCAACCTTGTATACATTAGAAGACTATTAAAAACGTACCGAATCAAATCATGAGCACGAACGGTCCCATCCAAACTGGCTGACAAAACGACTTTGGAATTTTGAGCTGGGAATGCAACTCCAGTAACACCGGCTGTGTGCTCAGTAAAGGTTACAACACATCTTCCACCAGATATACGCCACACTTTCACTTTGTTATCATAACCCCCAGTTACCAAATGTAAACCATCAGGAGAGTACGCCAAACTAGTCATTTCCTTAGAATGGGAATCGGCGCGCAGGTAATAGGATTGAGATCTCCATTCCCAAACAGCAATTTGTCCGAATAACTCTGAACCTGCACCAATCCAATCACCATTACGGTTAATCGTTAAACTGCTTATACTGTTAGTAAACAAACTGCGTATAAAAAAGAAATGAGTTTCTGTCACCAATATAATACATCGTACACTGAATTAAAATAAATACTTCAAGCATAAAAAGTATACACACAATTTGTATCCTATTCTTATGATTATGATTTTATTTCTTTTTGAATACTTATTTCAGTCGTGAAACAGAATGAATTCACTTTATTCTGTAAACCTGTGTGTTCTTACTGTTTAAAAAATAAAATATATAATAGATTTGAAAAATGCAACATCTTACTTTACTTCACTGATTATTATGAAGTCTGGAAATGTATGTAGTAAAAGTAACCCTGATTCAAACCCAGTTGCAAGCAACTTTAAATCTTTATGAAATGCCACTGCACTAACGGGATCGTTGATTTGTACTTCGTTAGAGTTTGTATAACGGTATCTGAAAACAGATATGAAAAGTGAATAAATTCAAGATGAACGGTGTTACGCATGAATAAAATGATTTTAAATTAATTTCCGTAACCTTAATCAAGGATTCATTAATCGCCTGGATACTCTTAATCACATAAAATAACTTTTGATTATAATAATACCAATAAGCAATCACTGAAAGTGATCTCTTAAAAAAAGGGGCAAGAATAGAACAATTTTAGGTCAACTTTTCACTTTGATTTAAACTCCTAACTACCAACCAGAGGTTCATGTATTTGAATGTCACTTTACTCACCAACATCAGATCAGCTACATAGCATCATTAAAACTTATAAAAAAATGAATGATTCATTACCTTATGATTTTGGCAACAAGAACGTGGTCAGTTTTGTATATTTTACAACTATGTAGATTTTCACATATTAGTCGAGTTTAGTCCACCTAATCTGGGTAGTTTAATCGTGAGGTTTTAGTTATTATCCTAGACGAAATCTTCAGTGTAAATTTTAGATAGAAGTGAGCTACGAAAATTCCATTACATATGAATAACAACTTGTGTCAACGTTTAACTTGATTGCTTATTGTAGACAATTTTCCTTTCATTGTGTATTTATTCTGGTCGTCTTCCCCTCTTATCTGAATACTTGACCTTGTTTATGATTTTCCTATCTGACAAATGAGATAGATCCTATATATTTGGTGCCCTCTTATACCAATACTTATGTGTTCAAATAAATAAATAAATAAATAAATAAATAAATAAAGATCCCAATATTTTTATTGATTGCTGATTGAACTTAGTATTAGGCTTTTAAAATTTCTATAGTCTTTATATTTACTAAGTTCAATATTTTAATATTTATCCAATCGAACGCCTACCCACAACTATTTAGGTACATTGGTACAAGCAGAGATACTTTGTGGGGTTCGACAGCTGACTAGTGTCGATGCCCCCAAATGCCCTGGTATGGCCGAGAGTGGGGTGGGTTCGCCCTCCCTCTCGAAATACTCTCACACGGCCACGCGTATACAGCCTCTGCCAGGGAAGTCCTACTCACTGCCTTCTCGTGGCGGAGGTGTTGTTTACGAAAATGAGAGGACGAAAAGCGATTGTCCAGGGCTATAACCGGATCCCAAATCAATGGTGCACGTGGGCTCCAGTATCCTGCCGGAACAAATGGCGTATGAACCAATTTTTGGTCACCGGCTTCCATGGGACTGCATCTCCTCACGATACTCCACTGCCTTGTGGACTAGACCTATAGGTCAAAGGCCCGGGGTGTGGCCCCCTAAGAAAACCACCTGCTTCGGTCTGGGCACGCGGGCAGTATCCCAGCCTACGCACTAAAACATGATGAACTATTTACTTATGGAAAATACTCTTTTCGCTCCGATTTACACTGAAATGACTTGCACCACTATTATTATTATCATTATTGTTATTATTATTATTATTTATTATTTACCACGCCATCTATTCACTCTCTTTTATTTCCACTCAGTCCATCCTTATTTTTCGACTTATACAACGGCTCACCTATGGTGAAAATTCGGCTCTATCTAAACGCTCTCGAGTCACTGTCTGGTTGGAAATTGTATGTTACCACCGAATACGAGTACTGAAGCAGTTTTTATGAAACCACGTGCACCATTCAAACTGGCTGCCTTCAACGTTCGCACACTTATGCAGGTCGGACAACAGATAGGGCTGGCTATGTCTTTGCCTACAAGCACTGGGTTTCTTCTGGTTCCTTACAACTGATTGAAGCCCGTTGATCTACTCCGGGTGACCGTGAGTTTGACCACAAACGAAGGATGTTACGTAATTAAATTGGGCAAAGTTTGCGTAAGGACCGAGAGACCTGGTGGTCGGAGCGTGCTAATGAGCTGGAAGCAGCAGCTGCATCTGGTAATTACCGGAAGCTCTTCCAACTCATCTGAGCCACTGGCAGCAAGAAGTCTGGTGTGAGCGAAACAATCTGCGAAGATGACGGAACGCCAATCACTAACATCCATCGACGTCTTGGACGATGGGCAGAATTCTTCGAAGGGCAATTCAACTGGCCTGCTGCTCCGACAACATCGGTCAGACTGTCCTGCCCTCCATGGCCGGTGACGACTGATCCACTAAATGGGGCGGAAGTCCGCAAGGAACTCCAACTCTTGAAACGCTACAAATCACCGGGCCCAGACGACTTACCTCCGGCTCTTTTTAAAGATGATAGTGACTTTCTGACTTAGGGACTGACGACGTTGTTTACAAAGATCTGGGAACTAGAGAGTGTACCAACGTCATGGAATGAGTCGATAGTTGTCCCTATCTTTAAAAAGGGTTCACGTCGTTCCTGTAACAACTATCGGGGGATAAGTCTACTTCCGATTGCGTCCAAGCTATTGGCTTCCGTCATACTTCGTAGGTTGTTCAGAACCCGAGAAGGATTGACTCACGAGGAGCAGGCTGGGTTTCGTTCCGGTCGATGATGTATTGATCATATCTTCACCCTCAACCAAATGTTAGAACACCGCCATAATTATCAAAGGCAAACAATCGTAGTGTTTCTTGATATCAGGGCTGCCTTCGATTCGTTGGACAGAACTGTTCTCTGGGATTGTCTATTGAAGAAGGGTGTGCCTGAGAAGTTTATTAACATCCTAAAAGCCCTATACACAAACACCACAGGCAGAGTGAGGGCATACAACCACCTTTCTCCACTATTCTATTCAAGCAGTGGAGTTAGGCAGGGTTGCCCAATCTCACCATTCCTCTTCAACTTTGCCATCGATGACATTCTGGAAACAGCTCTGATGGATGTAAGTAATGGTGTTGTGGATCTGTTACCTGGAGAAAGACTTCTCGACCTTGTGTATGCGGATGATATGGTCTTACTGTGCGAGAATGCCCAAGCTATGCAATCCGCACTTAATCAGTTGGCAATCAATGTCCGTAAGTATGGTATGTGCTTTGCACCCTCGAAGTGCAAAGTACTTCTACAAGACTGGCAGGATTCTAATCCTGTACTCACCCTGGATGGTGAGCAGATAGAAGTAGTCGAGAAGTTCGTGTATCTAGGTAGCTGCATAAGTGCTGGTGGTGGCGTGAGTGATGAGATCGATTCACGTATCATGAAAGCCAGAGCGGATTATGCCAATCTGGACCATCTTTGGCGCCTTTGTGATGTTAGTCTGACTGTAAAAGGTCGGATCTACAACGCGTCGGTGAGAGCAGTTCTGCTCTATGCTTGTGAAACCTGGCCTCTCCGAGTTGAGGATGTTAGACGACTCTCTGTGTTTGGTCATCGTTGTCTCCGAAGGATTGCTGACATTCAGTGGCAACACCATGTTAGTAATGCAGAGGTTCGGCATCGTGATTTCGGGAGCAGAGACGATAATGCAATTGGTGTCACCATCTTGAAACACCGACTTCGGTGGCTTGGACATGTTCTACGAATGTCGTCCCAGAGAATTCCTCATCGTGCATTATTTGCCGACTCTGGGACTGGTTGGAAAAAGCGGAGAGGTGGTCAGTATATGACATGGTGTCGTGGTATGAAAGAAAGCTGCAAAGGGCTAGCTTCTGTTGGTCCTTCACGACTCCCTGGCTGGGGTCCGAGAGATGGTGTAACACAGTGGCTAGAGACGTTATCAGATATGGCTCAGAATAGAAGTCAATGGCGATCCTGCTGTAACCTTCTTTTACTTACTTTATAAAAAGTGGTTGCCTCTTCCTTAACTGAAAGCATTCTTCTGATTGTACCTTTCCGTTTCCCCCATTATTGTTCTCTCTGTCTTTTTTTCTCCTTTCTCTTCAAATTATCATTGTTTTGTGTGGCGCATATATATTTGGTGCCCCCTTGTACCAATATTTATGTGTTCAAATAAATAAATCAATAAGTGTCGATGCAGACGAGGATGAAGATGGCGATTACCTTTTTCGATATAATGTTCCACACAGTTTCGGCAGTTTAGCTTGCAAATTATGTTTGGTTTTTTCGCTTATTTCATTTTCTAGTTTGTATGAAATTGATAGGGTGGTTTTACCAGCTTATGAGCTACACCCATTCCAGATTATTCGATAACCTTGTTGTAATTTCCAACATCTTTATTTACGATAAGATGATCCGTTTTTTTACTTTCACACTTGATTCAGTGATTATTGGTGAGTCGACTGAGCACCTTTCTGACGATTTACGTAGGCACCCGCATAACCGTCAATGAACTGTTAGGTTGCTGCTACTGTCATTAGAATTTAATTTGTATGAGTTGGCTTTCGATAAACAGCCATCTAGTTTTTCCGCGTTGTTTCGGAAGATCGATGCTCCTGGAAATGGCCATTTATAGTTTTACTGTTGGAGCTCCTGAAGTTTAAAAATGTCTGATTGTACATGCTTTACTAGCCAATTCCTTAAAAACTTGTATCATTGATGTATGCTACATCTGGGGGTCCCATATAGAGACTAATTACATACAGTACCATAATCTCCCCTAGCCAACCTATGAGAACTATGCTTTAAGTTTTCAGAGACTGAACAACAGCCTTTCGCCACGAATGCAGGAATTTAGTGGGTACAGTGTTTAACTTAACAATTAGATAGCAGGCTCAAGACTAATAACACTGATTACAGCAAATTACGAAAATAATTTGGACGAAATTTATCGAATGTTCAGGTATTTTGTCAAATCTCTAACCTGTTTCCGACCATAAAAACTAACTTAAGAGGAACAAAATTCTTATTTCTACATCGTGTAAACACCATAAATTATTCGTATACAATTTAACTAAATAAGGAATAAAAAGCATAGGCATATGATTTCATACTAGACTCACCTATTGCTGATCCTAAATAATGAGATAGGTTTTGAGTCATCAATGCTCTTCAGCTGATCAAGAGAAACGTTTGCCTCCCAAAAACATATTACGCCATCAGAGCTGACTGTTAATATATTTACAAAGTTATGCAGTATGAATGCCCCCATAATGGGGTTCTTGTGTCCAGCTAGTGTGTAGACGAATATTTTGGGTATATTGTACACCGAAAATAACCGGCTAGTGGAATCGACTGATCCAGCAATGAAAAACCTGAACAGATTATTATTTTTATGGGTTTACCTAGAATCACACGACCAATCAATACAAGTAACGTTATCCGTAAAGCCGTAAAACACACGATAGAGTTCCAAGTGATTAAACTGGCGGTTTGGAGAGGGTGCGAAGAAAAGCATCACATTATTACCTTTTGCAACAGCCATGAACCTAAAATAAGTAGACATAATGACAACTTACTTTCCATCTGGGCTGAAGGAAACAGCCAAGACAACTCCTTTGAAAGGATACACAGATATCACAGCTCCTGTGGAGAGTGAGCATAAAGACGCATCACCAACTATTAATAATAGCTGTTGATCATATTCAATAATATATTACCCTCATTAATGGCGACTAGAAGAGGTATCGACGGAGACAACGCCAAATGGTGCACATCGTGGAACGAGGAAATATCAATAGATGCTACTTCATCCCTTGAAAAAACATCGATCAGAAATACTCAAAACGATTACTTCTTAAGATCAAAAACTGTTATCTGATTGCCGACCGGGCTCAAAAGACCCAAACCGTTGTTCGTAAAAACAACGGATCCACACTTGTAGGCTGTCCCAAAAAGATTTTTGAACTTTCAATCAAGAAAATTCACAAACCATTATTACCTTAAAGTTCAGCCTCATAACACGTGCAGTCGATGTAACGTACAATTCGAAATGTGGCTAGTATTCTATCATCAGACTTTGCTGAATGAACTACTAATATAAGTCCTCCGTCTGACTTATTATGCTTTAATTACGCTAACTCCGTTTAGATAGTGGTGGTTATCAGAAGCCATATACGAATTAGGGGGCCGATTAATTGCATCCTAGGCTACTAAAAGAATTATCTAACATCGTTGCGAACCCTTTAAGTGTATGCTTTAATCTATCCGTAACCCAGGGTCGTTTACCAAAAGGCTGGAAGAACGCCATAGTGAGTTCTGTCTTCAACACAGGTACGAAACATAAACCTGAGAATTACCGACCAGTTAGACTAACTAGTGTGGTTGTTAAAATCTTAGGAACGATTATTCGGTAGTTGTTTAGGTATCTCAATGAAAAATGGATCCTCTCGGAGAAGCAGCGTGATTTTAGAATAGGTTATTTTTGCCTCATTAACTTATTAGTCGCTCGTGAAAGCTAGTGCGCTATACAAGCTAAGAAAGGTCGGGATTGGAGGTAATCTATTGATGTGGATAAAAGACTTCCTAGTTGGACGCCAACAAATAGTACGAGTGAACTCAAAGTTACTTGACTGGGGGACTGTGATTAGTGAAGTGCCTCAGGGTACAGTTTTGGGGCCAGTGTTATTCCTCTTGTATGTAAATGACCTTCCTCGTCTCCTAACATCATCGGTCTTGTTATAAGCTGACGATGTCAATATATGGAGAGCGATACGAAGTAAAGGTGATAGCTTGTAACTCCAAAATGACCTAGAGAAATTATCTGGCAGTTGCCGATTAATACTTCGGAGTGTGTTGTGATGTATGTCAGTCATCAAGGCACAGATACATGCACGATGAATAACACTAAACTACCTGTTGTCCAAACACACAATGACATAGGAGTCATCGTTAGCCAAGACTTAAAGACTACTACACACTGTCGTGCAATAGTCGCCAAAGCTTTTAGAAGTTTATACTCAATACGTAGGGCTTTCAATCATGTCAACGCTAAAACGTTTTTGACTTTGTATGCAGAGTTCGTATGTCTTAAACTTCAATGCTGCATACAAGCTGCTAGCTCCTGCTTAAAAAATACAGTGAACGTTTGGGAAGGGTTCAGAGAACAGCGAGTAAGCTGATTCCCGGAATAGCCAAGCTCCCATATGATGCTCGACTGGCCAAACTAAACCTATTACCGTTGTCATATGGTAGAACTAGAGGCGACTTGATTACAGCTTTCAAATCGTTTAGTGATAAATTTGCACCTGATATGCCCTCATTTTTCCTATCTTCTAAAACAGAGAATTTACGAGGACACTCCAAAACGGTTCACAAGTTCAGAACAAATTACTTGTCATCTGACTATTGACTTTTCCATCAAATGATCAACGAGCGGAATTCATTACCTCAGCAAGTGGTTGAGGCTCCATCCGTCGACTCTTTCAAAGGAAAGTTGGATCAACTGAGAGGTCACAACCAGTACCAACACAAGCCATCTAACCTACTGTCCTTTCCAAACTGAAACTGAATGTATCCACTCCATGTACTCTTTTACTCAAACAGACAGATATATGAGAAGCGAATCGAAGATAAACTTGTCAACTCAATGAATTACTCATTACAAGCGTTAATATGGCTCAAGTGGAAAATAAATAGTGTGAAAAAGGAACAGGTGTTGGACAATATAATACAAGTATACACATATACGGGCACATGCTAAACGACTAGAACATATTGTAGTGGTAAATAAATCCCCAAAATAAATAGCTTTTTAAGTCTTCGACATTGGATGCTCACCACATTCGTTTTAATGGACTCACCTAGCTGAAGGCGCTCAGTCATGCATCCGCACCAGATCACGAGTAGGAATGCCGTGCTCAACATCCCTTGCAATCGCCAGCAAGCCTAGATCATTCAATCCTCGATATATTGATAGCTTATCAAATATATCTTCGAACCTACTCGTTTCTGTCTTTTGATTTCACTTGGTGGATACGATTCATAGTAGAAGGTGTTACTGGTTAAAGCGTTACTCAACTCCAAATACCTGTGGCATCTTCACTACAATTACGATGAAAAGGATAGTTATTAGAAAGTTAAAAAGGACTCGATATTAACACGTTTTGTGAGTTGCTAAAGTCTGTCTGAAATTCAAGATGAACAATGTGTGCATTAGTATATGACATAGAATATATCAAGTGAAGGTACCAATATTATGTATCATAGTAAATAATTCCAGTGATTCACTGCGTAATGTGAGAAAGTAAACTCCAGGCCTGAAGGATAACGAGAATAGGTTGGTAAGTTGCAGTTTTTCTTCACAAGTTAGAGCAGCGTGGTTTCTTGCTATATAACAGTGTAGAATTGTGATCTGCTCCAGTATTAACACTGCTATAATGATAGATCTAAACTCAAAATTGTACATATATCATGATGTGACGACGCAGTTTACAAGATCTTACGTGGAAGTCACATCATTCCCTACACTATTGTGACGATCAGCAGTATGACGTCTAGCACTTCTGAAGAACACATTTAAGCTGAGAATGGACCAATATATCCAAACAAGAAAACAATAGGTTATTTAGAGTAACCACGTCCACATAACCGAGCCACGCTATTTCGAAGAATTGTTCCCGAGTTCACCATTACCGACCTCCTCCAAGTGTTACATTTTGAATGCCAATCTTCTCAGTAATTAAATGTTCAGCTTCAAGGTTGGTGTGGATAGGAACCAATACCACTACAACATTATTTATACATAATACTTGTCACAATTAGACTCGAATCAGCCATATTTTAACGTCGGGATTGCTTCTGTCATGACACTATTCATTAAGAACCTCAGTGAAAGTAGGTCCGTGATTGTGTATGATCTCAACCGCATGATCATTGAAGCCGAACATAAGACATCGGGGAAGATGTGAATTCGATGTAAGTGGATGCCCCTCGTCTTGTCGATAGAAGAAATTGAACTGTGGTGAATAGGTCTTTTTCGATCATGGAAAGAAAGTTTGATGCGTGAGGTTTATTTTTCCAAACACAAAGTCTTCCGACATTCAGTGTAAAATATTAGGAAATATGATGTCTATAAAAAATGAATGAATTCTTGAAATACAGTATAATGATAGTACTAAGGTTTTTGCTAGCTACTATTAACCAACCAACCTGAGATGTCACACATTCAAGTTCTAACACGAAGCAGGTCAGGGATGGTGAATGTGGGCACACTCGACCTTGAAGGTGTGGCCGCTTCATCTTACTTTTTCCCCTTCATGTTTAATATAATATTCTCTTCCCATATCAAACGTGTTTTTCAGAAGTCATATGCTTCATATTAATGAAGCACGATAGGACGAGTCTATAAACAATGTTATGACTTAGGTCCAGATCATGCGATACATGCCTGGTAGACTACCTGAATGATATGACTCTGAAAAGAGACAACGGACTCCTTGTATCAGTCCTATTCTTAGACTCTCAAATCAGTGCACGACCTAGGTATTGATTACACAGGAAGTTTGAACTTTGAAGAACATGCCCCATCTATTATTTCTAAATGTAGACGGTAAATTGGTTTCATAATGAGAAATTTCTTCACAACAGAGGCCATGCTTACTCTCTATAAAATATGTGTACGACCTTCCCTGGAATACTGCTCTTTTATCTTCTCTAGTATGAATACCACAGACAAAATAAGAGTAGAAGACGTTCAAAGACGCTTCACACGCCAACTGCTAGGAAGTAACTCTAATGCCGACTACACAGAGAGATGTAAGCACCTCTCTTTAGAACATTTATGGCACCGTAGGCTAAACAATAATTTAGTATTTCTCTACAAAGCGATATATAGACTCTCATTTCTAACCTCCTGCCCAACTATGATCCACGACCCAGCCTATAGACTAAGAAACACCGCACATACACTACTTACCGTAAAACACCAAAAACAAATGCGTTGTAAGTTTTTTACAGTACGGTGTAGTTTATTGTGGAACAGGTTGGCAGTACATATCCGTAACTGTGATACATTTACCAGATTCAAAAAGCTAATAACTCTGTTTTCAGACCCTAAAGAGCTTCAATCTTTCCTTGGACTTCCGCCCACCAATGAAGCACTTTACTATGGACCGCCTAATATCTAGACGGAACAAGAATATAACGAGCTTGACTATTATTATTATGAATACAAATAAATTACGGGATATATGGTTTGCCATTTCCTATTATTCATTGTCCATTAATCAAGGCCTAATGCTCCTAACCCTCACTCTCAGTTCCCAAATCTCTCTACTGGTTAAATATACATTTTTCTTCCTAAGTGTCACGTCTTCTTTCCTATTGCAAGTAGACAAATAACTCACTAATTTTATGGATGCTGATCTACTAAGGCCGATCATATGAAGCTCAAAATCGTCATAAAGTCTTGTGAGTTGCTCAATGTTTTGTTTTTTTACCCTAAAAATTTTACAATTTTATACTCTTTCAAATCCTTTGATTTGTTATTAGTCCTTACTATCTTTAAACCACATATATTCTAACCTGTTTTTTTTAACTTTCACTATTAGTTATCTTCATAGCAGTGTGATATACTAAATGAACATCTAACCCATAATACAAACGCTTTAAATATCTGATTCGCTTGAAACATGGAACTAGTAGAGACAGTGTATTCCAACTATGGGCTTTGATTAAAGCAGTATTCATACTTACCACAAACGTAAGAAAGCCTAACATCACAAAAGGAGGGAGGGTGGCGTTACTGACCAGTAAACATGATGGTGGAGAGGTAACTTCAATCCACCCATGTCTGTAGGGCGGAACATTTTGTTTAATTACGGCTTCTTATGGTCTAGTGGAATGTCACGAACTGATGGTATTGATGCTGATTTATCATGCAAAATATCTCATTAAATCACGTTTAGAGGGCTGAATTGGTTTCACTTCCTACATAATAATCCTATTACAAGCAAACTAGATGACTCGCTAAAAGCGAAGCCTAATCAAGACCCTATAAAATCTAAAAAGGGCTCCGA